CAGCAAGGTATTTAGTAGCAAAGTAATATGATAGTAGTAGTAACGATAGCAAAAGTAACGGTAGCAAAAGTAATATTTTTGGGTTTTGTAGTGATTGTAACAATAGCAACGGAAAATTAAATAAGCGAAGAACAATATATGAAAAGCTCGTAGGCATTGGATCGGTGATGGATAATTATGCCGAATGCGATCGATCATGTAACAGTCATAACCTAGGGTGACACAGAACTAGCTCCGGTTCATCAATGTAATGTAGGCATGTATTCCGAATATAGTCATACATGCTTATGGAAAAGAACTTGCATGACATCTTTTGTCCTACCCTCCCGTGGCAGCGGGGTCCTATTGGAAACTAAGGGATATTAAGGCCTCCTTTCAATAGAGTACCGGACCAAAGCATTAACACATAGTGAATACATGAACTCCTCAAACTACGGTCATCACCGATAAGTATCCCGATTATTGTCACTTCGGGGTTAACGGATCATAACACATAATAGGTGACTATAGACTTGCAAGATAGGATCAAGAACTCTCATATATTGATGAAAACATAATAGGTTCAGATCTGAAATCATGGCACTCGGACCCTAGTGACAAGCATTAAACATAGCAAAGTCATAGCAACATCAATCTCAGAACATAGTGGATACTAGGGATCAAACCCTAACAAAACTAACTCAATTACATGATAAATCTCATCCAACCCATCACCGTCCAGCAAGCCTACGATGGAATTACTCACACACGGCGGTGAGCATCATGAAAATGGTGATGGAGGAAGGTTGATGATGACGATAGCGATGGATTCCCCTCTCCGGAGCCCCGAACGGACTCCAGATCAGCCCTCCTGAGAGAGTTTAGGGCTTGGCGGCGGCTCTGTATCGTAAAACGCGATGAATCCTTCTCTCTGATTCTTTCTCCTCGAAAGTGTATATGTGGAGTCAAGGTTGAGGTCGATGGAGCATCAGGGGGCCCACGAGGCAGGGGCGCGCCCAGGGGGGTAGGGCGCGCCCCCACCCTCGTGGACAGGGTGTGGGCCCCCTGACATGGATCTTTCTTCTAGTATTTTTATATATTCCAAAATAATTCTTCATTGATTTTCAGGTCATTCCGAGAAATTTTATTTCTGCACAAAAATAACACCATGGCAATTCTGCTGAAAACAACGTCAGTACGGGTTAGTTCCATTAAAATCGTGCAAGTTAGAGTCCAAAATAAGGACAAAAGTGTTTGGAAAAGTAGATACGACGGAGACGTATCAATATCCTCGACACCTAGTTACCCTATGGGCAATTTGGTGGGCTCGTCGTCGCGTCATACATGAGAAAGAATTTTAGAGCCCACTGTCCACTTACATGTTCATCAAGAGGTATATTGAAGAAATTGGATTGTATGGTACCCAAACAGCTACATGCGAAGTGGGACGCCTACACTCTCGGCCAGAAGCAATATGGATCAAAACAGAGGCGGGACGGGTGAAGCAGATGGTGCGGTGGCCGAGCTCCTTTACAGGGGCTCGGTGGCGGCTGTCTGTCGTGACGAAGGAGGCCGGTTTCTAGGAGCGTCAGTTGGGTAATCAATGGCGCGACGGACCCGACAACACTTGAAGCGCATGCATGTAGGGAGGCCATTGCTTTGACTGATTTAATACACTTAACATCTCATCTAAGAGCATCTCCAGCCGTTCGGCCCCCAGGGCGCCAAAAAAGAGCACCCTGGGGGCGAGCCGGCGGTAGATTGGCGCGTGGGGGCGAGCGGGTTCCCAGCCGCTCGCCCCAGGGTCGCCCCAGACGCGTATTTTTTTATTTTAAAACCTATGAATTCGGCAAAGTTTGGCCAAATTTGGCATAAATTCGGCTAACTTGACATTCATATTAAATATGTTTGACGTTTACATAAATTATTTTAAAAAAAATACATTTATGGGGCGAATAAGTCGCTAAGCGTCGCGAAGTCGCCGCCGTCCTCGTCGGCGGCGGCCTTCTCCTTCTTGATGGCGCGGCCGCCCCTGCTGGACCCCTGCCCGGCGTCTCCAAGGCGGACCGGTGGTGGCGGCAGCGCGTCGTCGTCGTCGCTGTCGTCGAGGACGACGACGCCTCCCTCATCACAGCCATGGCGCCGGGCTTCGAAGTGCTCGAAAGCGGCGATCTGACGCTGCAGCTTCGTCTGCGCCCAGTCGTCGCGCACCCAGGGCCGCCTCATCGTTGAGCACCTCCTCCTTGACGCTGCCGACGGGCTCCTTTTTGACGGCGGCGAGCCCCGACTCCGTCTTCGGTTTGACGAAGCGCGGAGGTGCCAAGGAGGGGGCGCGCCGGTCGCCCTCATTAATGACGATGCCGGCGTTGCGGGTGCACAGGCCGAGCGGCGTCTCCGCGGCGGGCTCGGGCTTGACGCCGAAGAGCACCAGCGAGGAGGAGTGGGAGGAGGAGGAAGAGGATGATGAGCCAAACCTCCTCGGCACCCACGGCCCGGCGCTCTGGCGGGGAGGGGGCAGGACGGGCGGCGCGGCAGGGTATGCCAGGGGCGGGTTGTTGCCGCCCTCGAGGTGCGTCAGCACCCCGTGAAGTGTGCGGCCAGGGACGCCCCACCAGAGGCGGCGGCCGTCGCTGTTCTTGACGCTCCCCATCACCGGTGCCCCGTTCGTGGACGCCAGCCGCTGCGCCTGCCGCCGCTGGAAGTACTCCGTCCATGCCGCGTGGTTGTCGGCGATGTACTGGGGGAGGGTGCGCTGCTCCTCAGTCAGGGCCGACCGCACGCGGTCAACCTCGTCGGCGAAGAAGTCGGGGCGCGCGTCGACGTCGGGCACCAGGGGAATGGGGACGCCACCGTTGCTGAGCCTCCACCCCGTTGGCCCAGCGCGCATGTCCAGCGACGCCGGGATGTTGGCCTCGAACAGGAGCCACGCCTCCGATGACTGAAGCGAGCAACGGCCAAAGCCGTTGGCCGCCGCGGCGTCGCCGGGGAAGCGCTCAGCCATCGTTGGAGAGGGAAAGAGGGAAGGGGAGAGCTCGGCGGCGTACTTGGGGGAGAGAAGAGCTCGGCGACGGCTGGTTTGGGCTCGGGATGATGTGGCCAGCAGCGAGGGGGAGCGACGGGTGTTTATAGCTCGTGTCGTGTGTACGCGTGGTGGGAAGGGAGGCGTCGCCGCGCCGCCCGTGACGCGTCGGCCCATGAGGAATCAATGGAAGATTGACCGACGACAGCTTTGCCATTGATTCCCCGCGGGAAACCGAGGCGCGCTGGGGAAGATGAGGCGTCGTCTCGCTGACGTGGCTGGCCCGCGGCTCTTTCGCGTCAAAACCGTTCGCCCCAGCCTCCCCGGGCGCCCCAGCACGCCGAATTCAGCCTGGGTCCGCGGCGTCAGTTTCGACTCAAGCAGGCGAAAAACGGGCTACTGGAGACGCGACTGGGCCGATTTTTTGACACCGGCACGGCAAAATCGCCTGGAAAGAGCCTGTTGGGGACCAACTGGAGATGCTCTAAGCATCAGTGCATTGGACGTCTTATCTATCCCTAATAATAAAGCACGAATTGACTCCGTGGGTTCACTGTCACAATACGTGTCTTCCCGTGATTTTACGCTTTCATTTTTCTCACCTATATTATTTTCTACATCCAAGGTGGTACTATTGCTTCTTACCATTGAAATTTCGTCCGCTCAAATCAAACACAAGCGACCTACGGTATATTGGGCTTCAACGTGTTCGGCCCAACAAACAAATCGAACGAAGAGACCGATTAGAAGACGAATCAGAGGCCCATAAAAACAAGACAGATCCGAACACGTCCTCCGCTCCTAAGTCGGCTAGCACGCACGTTCTTCTCTCATCTCCCACCCCGCAGAAAAATCCAACCTCACGGATCCATCGCCGCCACCATACCAAGATCCGGCGAGAGAGCGATCGTCCCGGACGTGGGCGACCATCTGGAACATGGAGCTGCCATGAAAACACTCGGTGTCATGGAGGGCGAGGTCAAGGTCCGCTACCTAGGCCACGAGCCCATGATCTCAACTTCAGCTTGTCGAGGCGGATGTTTTGCAAGCTGCTGGCGCGCTGTGTGCAGCCCCAGCGCCAACGATAGCCCGATCATCCCGGTAGCCAAGGTAGCCAACCGGCTTGGCCTTTGCCCTCGCTGCGCCGCCGTTGGAGTGCGCGGCCGCGGTGGAGTAGCTCTACAGGGCGGCTGCACGGAGACCGGCAGAAGCTTGTGAAGAGCCATGACTGTGATCGATAGCAGCAATCGCGATTATGAATTCTTCTTTTGTTTTCCTTTGAGTTGATGGGGGCTAGATGTACTTCAGACAAGGCTTCAATAAGGAAGAGCGGAAGACCACTAATACTTTTTAGTATTGAATAATGTAGTGTACTATCTATCTATCCATTCAAGAAAATTGATGGCGATGGAATCCGCTTGTGTGCGTGTGTGGGTGTGCCGCTGGTCGCTCGATGGTTTCTGCAGGTTTCGTAAAGTAAGAAACTGTTGGTCCTATTCTGAATTCTAATAATGTTGATCACCAGGGACAGAGAGATCAGAGGACGGATGGAAGGGATGGCGACAACGTTATATTCGAAAGGGAATAACGCTGGAATACCTTGCTGTTGCTACTTGTCAGAGTGCATAATTATGAAGTAAATTACTCGGCACTGCTTAGTTGCCAAACTTGACAGTTGCTAAGACCTTCTGCCGACAAGATACACAAACATACAATTGCATGGCAAGTTAACGTCTTCTGATGGATTTTGTTTGCCTTTCTTGACAAGAAAACTATAACTATGGGTTTTTTGCTAGTATTCCCCTAAACATTGAGTAATAAAGCGTGTTGTTTTCTTAAAAAAAACTGTGAAATAGGCGTCCGCTCTGGAAATGCCTCGTGCGCCCTGTCTTGTCCTCCTTATCCCAATCCCCGTTGATCGAATTCTATCTGATAATCCAAGTGCTCTCATCAATAAGAAAAAAAAAATCTGATAATCCCAGTACTAGCAACCAACCCTGACATGGCGTGCAGGCCGGCCGTGTCCAACCCCTCCGCACTCACGCCGGCGCCGCGCCGATGCGTCGTCCTTGGCCGCAGCAGCACTAGGGGACGCGTTGACTGCTCCCTCCGCTCCAGCTCCGCGGGTGCGGTCAGACTCGGTGCGCGCCGCGCCCCTGCCGCCGCCTTCGTCGTCCGCGCGGCGGCTGCCGAGGTACGCGCGCCTCCCCCCACCTGGCAGTTCTGTGCTCGCTACTCATTCTGGGGGTTTGAATGTTCATTGTTCTGTTTATTTTGAGGTGAAAGCGAGAGCTTAGTATATCCATTCTCGATTACAATCACATGCGGTTACATGGTTGACATTCTTGGCTTGGGCTGCCGTCTGAGGGCTTTTGGAGGAAATCAAAATGTAGGAATTAGGAGTAGTATAGGAATTTGATAGGATGACACTTGCCATCCTAAGGAATCGACTTGCCTCGTTCCTACACGTAAAATGAGCTTTGAGTGGACGTGTAGGCCTCTTTTGGTTCATAGGATAGGATTATCGTAGGAATAGGAATCTTGTAGGAAATGAGATGACATGTATCTCAAATCCTATGAGTAGGAATAGGAAACAAGATGTCATTTGGTTGACACCAAAGGAATTTTTCCATTGAGTCTAGGCTCATTTTTATTTTCCTATGAAATGTGGAGGATAGGAACCAATCCTATGTAGGAATAGGAATCCATTCCTATGAACCAAAGGGCTCTAAAGGAAAAAATCCTATAAGAATCCTATCCTCTAGAAATCCTATGAAATTCCTACAAACCAAAGGAGGCCTATAGTTTCCTCCAAAAACACAAGAAATGAGTAGTATTTCTACGAAATTCCTGTACGCATTTCCTACAAACCGAATGCATATATAGGAAATTTTCCTCCGGAATCCGTGTTCCTATGTTATTCCTACGAAAATCCTCCAAACCAAATGAGGTGGGTGGCAACGTTGCTCTCTATCAGCTTTCTGTATGTTAAGGGCCTCTTTGAGTCGCAGGATTTTCAAAATGCAGGAACAGGAAAAAATGTAGGAATAGTGTCATGTTCTCTTATATCCTATGGGATATGCAGTTCCTGTTCTAAACACTATCCCATGGGATACAAGAGGATATGACACACTTCTGCAAATCCCATAGGATATAAGAGGACCTGACACTCTATTCCTACATTTTTCCTGTTCCTGCATTTTGAAAATCCTGTGAATCAAAGAGGCCTATAGTACAAATGAATCCTGTGAAAAAAATCCTAATGATTCCAATCCTACAAATCAAACGACCATCACAGGAAAAAATCCTAAGGATCCAAATCCTGTAAAAATCCTTTCAAATTCCTTTGTATCAAAGGAGCCCTATACGTTTGGAAAATCTCTCTAAGTTCTTCGTACAGCGCTCACCATTGCGATGGATTCTGCGTCCTCGCACTCAGCTCCCTGAGAACCGGCGCACAGTATGTCCGATCAGGGCAACTCCTTCCCAAAATGTCCGGACCAAGAGGTCCGGACACTTTTTTCCCTCCAACGCCATGCATCAAACATCCGGACGTCCGAATTATCAAAAACCTGAACCCAACCTGGGGAGATTTGGGGGAAGTCCGGATAGTCCGCTTGCCCATTGTCAGTTGGACCACATGTCCTCACAACCAATGTGTTTTCTCCTCTAGGTCCGCCTGGCCCATCCTGTTGTACGCATTTGATGCTATTTGATGCATACGATTTGGATGACCGGCTCCACAATCGCTGTCCGTTGACATGTCTGGACGTGTCCGTGGACATTTGAGGTGTCTGTTTTGATGTTCAGCGTTGGAGTTGCCCCACTGGTCCTTTATTTTTCCGGAACGCGCAAGAGCATTGCGCGTCGTTTCATTAAGATAGAGGGAAAACAACCACATGTACCAGAAATCTACTGACATCAAAGATGAATCGATTACTCAGAACTTCCCTACTACAACCACACTGTCTCAGCCGCCAAGTGAGCAACCAGGGTCATTCCCTGTCGATGATGGGCGCGACCACAGTCGCAGACGCGGAGATCTAGCTTGTAATTTGCCTTGTCCTGTTGCTGCTTCTGCAGGGTGACTTGGATCTCCAGGCTAAGGTGACGAGCAAATGCTTCTTTGACGTCGAGATCGGCGGGGAACGCGCAGGCAAGGTGGTAATTGGACTCTTCGGCGAGGTCGTCCCTAGGACTGTTGATAACTTCCGCGCCTTGTGCACTGGTATAGCACGCTATTTTTTCAGATAAAAGACATCTATTAATGATGCCCAGTCTATAAAGACCAAGGTTCCAAAGTTTTAATTAGCAATCCTCGGTCCTCACTATTTAACGTCGACAACAAATTCGTAGGAGTTGCTAGTGTCAGTAAATGTGCTGAGTAGTATATATCTGGACTCAGATATTGTTGCTCTCTTTTTTATTGGGGCAGGAGACAAAGGTTATGGATACAAGGGCTGCTCCTTCCACCGAATTATCAAGGATTTCATGATTCAGGGCGGTGATTTCCAGAACAACAATGTAAGTACTGTGTTCCCTGATAACTAGTCAGCTCACTTTATTCTGCACTCCTCCCTGTACACCATACATTCCAGTACAATCAAATTGTGAGCTTTGTTTCAGATGGTGTTTGTGCAGCATATGTCCATTCACTTACAGGGTGCACAGATGTCTGTAATGTAGATTTTATATTCTTCAGGTCTGCAGAAATGACCCTTTGGAATTATGAATTTGGGTGCATTCTACTTCTATTTCACCAAGTCAACTAATAAAATGGATGGGGGAAATAGAGGATCCCGATCAATGCCATTGCAGAAACTAGTACTTTTCACCCAAGGGAGTGATTTAAGTCTTCAACAAGTACCGCCCATGAAAAAGATGGCATAATAGAGTTATTTTAGCAGAAGAGTTGCCAGTTATTGTACCAGCTGCCTACAAGTTTACTGATATTTGGATTAAGTGAATGTACTAGGTCCTATCCTCTTCAGCACACTGAGTCTATACATCCCCTGGAGTCTGTGGTATCATGCAGTACCACTTCAGCTATTGATTTATGATATTCTCTAGTTAGTTAAGATGGGTTCTTAAATGTGTTAATTTATATTTATGCCAATATAATATGTTGAAGGGGCGTCGTACTATGACTGTATGGCTCATCCAATATTTATGAAAGTTAGATGAATACTGGCTAGTAGCCACAGTGGCTGCCTAGTATTGTGCCTCTGGTAGAACCCATCGGGGAGACCTGAGAGGCGGTGGTTTACCCTGCGGTGGCTGTTAGCTGTTTCGAGTCCACTTATCTCCAACCCGTGAACTTAGCGGATACTATCATAACACTGAATTCGCCGATTCGGCAGTTCGATCTATGATTTCACACTCATGGACGTTCGTATCACCTTAGGATGGCACAGCCTTAAGTTAAAGGCGAGGTTCAAAAGAGGAAAAGCTTGCAGTGTATACCAAGGCACCCAGAGACGAGTAAGGGCATATCAAGCAACGAAATGCTCCAGGGAGTTGGAAATAAGCATAGATCCAGAGATTCTCAAATAGGTCAACCTTTTAAACCGTCTGCTAAGTCCATGAGCAGGCAAGAGACAACCTGGCGAACTTAAACATCTTAGTAACCAGAGGAAAGAAAGCAAAATCGATTCCCGCAGCAGCGGCGTGCGAATGGGAGCAGCCTAAACTGTGAGAACAGGGTTGTGGGAGAGCAATACAAGGGTTGTGCTGCTAGGCTAAGCAGTTCTGCAACACAGCCTTTCCTAATGCAATTCATTTTTCCTATTGCTACTCCTCACCTCTTCACTTTTATGTCCCTTTCCTATGATAAGCTAAGTGACAAATCTATCACACAACAGTTTACCAGGCCAAGATTCTTCATTTTTATCCTTTCATGAGTTACATGTGTTGAGAAACTACCAAGGGCAAGGATGAAATTTGAACAATCAAATTGCTTAAACACACAAAAAAAGAAAGATAGACGATAATGTGTTGAGTATATAAGTTTGGAAGAGAACATGTTTAATTTCAAAATAGTAGTATTTCTGTTATGGATGCATCTAGGGAAAGTCTGGCAACTTTCTTAGTTCTGGGAAGCACTGCAATGCTAAGATAGTGTACAAAATAAATGTTAAAGTGGGTCGAAAAGCACCTTATGAAAGACAAGTGAAGTTCATCATAATCTAGGTTTGGAGTTCAGTGACTTATTTATCAGCAAACTTGTTTCTGTGACAAGGTAACAGACTTTTTCACTTGTTAGGTGCTAAGGATTTTTTGGTGACCGCAGGGTACTGGTGGGAGAAGTATTTATGGTGAATGCTTTGATGATGAAAATTTTACATGTAAGTGGTTTTATACTGCACATTATCTTTGAATGAACTTTCCACTTTATAACCTTGGCCTTTTCGCCGCACTTCTGATTTATGGACTGAAGCTTCATTGATTTGCATAGAGTTGTGTATTGAATTTTTTGCCTGCAATAGGTTCAGTTTTAGTTCAGTAGTAGTTAAATTGAAAGTTTCTATTTCTTACCCCTTTTTCAGTAAAGCATGTTGGTCCTGGTGTACTAAGCATGGCCAACGCTGGCCCTGACACAAATGGAAGTCAGTTTTTCATTTGCACTGTGAAGGTAAGAAATCCTTAATATTCAATATGGTAGGATCATTTTTAGGTCGCTATTTGCCAAACTCTTCGCTTTCAGAGTCATATATGGTAGTAATAAGTAAAGGCTTTAGTGTTCGAAAGTATCTGCAAATTATGAACAGAGGGGTACATTTCTATCCCTATTTTGTGTTCGATCAATACCATTGAGATTTATTTACTAGCCCTAGGTATTACTTCCAAGTTCAGACACTTGAAAATGGGGGTATTTTTCTGTATTGACAGAACTGAAATCAGTGTTGTAATACCCCACTAACAAATTAGCTTCACAAAAACCATTACTCCCTTTTGTATACCAGAAAAGGAGTAGGATGTGGTTTAGATTCCTGATCCTGACAGAAAACTTTAATCCTTCAATCCGCTCCCTAAATTTCTTTGTAAGATTGTTTGTGCCCACAAAAACACTTACACCCAAAGTAACAATTGACGATACTTGAATTCTTGTTTCTAAAATAGTGTGTCTTCAGCAGAGAGGCATAAAGTCACAATCATTGCAGTAGTCCAAAGTGTGTAAGGGCATGTACAATGGTTAATAAAACCGCCCTATCTTAAATCTGCCACGTAATCTAGAAATGAAAACAAAAACTATGATGTATAATGGTTATCTCTTAGTCTTATCTCCAGTGGTGGAGCTGCTACACTATCAAAGGTGGGCGGGCCAATACAAAGGAAATCCACTATTTTTTCTTTCACAGCTCAGTCTACTCTGAATTCTCCACTGCATTTGCTACTGGCTGGGCGGGCCTTGGCCTATTTTTGTTACACGTAGCTCCGCCAGTGCTTATCTCTATAGTAACTAAATATGTTGTCAGAGATATTGTTCCTAAGAGATAATCTCTTAATTAAGAGAAGACAATCCCTTTTTTCTGATTTCTCGTTCCTCCACCTCATCATTTATCATATGTGGCACAGCATCATTGTACACGTCCTAATATTTCATCATCTTATTGTTTTCAGAACTTCATTTTAGGTTACTACTTGATTCTTTATAGCTGTTAGAGCTGTTGAAAAGTGCACCTTCCACATTTCTTTAAGTTTCCCACAATATGTGGTGAAAAAGGCACATTCCATATTACAGCTGTATAGGTTCTCCCATTCATGACATTTTACATGTCATCGCCATGCCATTTTCAAAAACAATTCTCTTACACGCACCAAGATGTGTGCCATTTTGTATTAGAAGAAGAACGCCAAGATGGTACAAAGCTTAAATGATAAACCTGCCAAAGTCGAAAAGAAGAGAATGGGAAATTAAGCTAGCGAGTAATGGGAAAGGACAGATTGTACTGGCCCTCTTTCCGAGTAACCACAGGATGGCTCCACTCCCACCTAGCTCCGCTCCCACCCTCTAGCTCCTCCAAGCCCCCGCTGCCTGCCGCCGACG